ATCTAGTTTGATCAATCCTCCAAATTTCTTTTAAATTCAAATATAGAGTTTGAAATTTGAAATTTTACTTTAGATCCAAACAAAGGATTTTAATATTGTACTTTGAAATTTTTTATATCATCCAAACCAAGGATTTAGAATCTATAAATTTCAAATGTGAGATTTCAAGTATGATATTTTAAATCCGAATTCCCAACTTAAATCCACCCATCCAAACACAACTTTAATGAATTTGACCCCTTACATTTTCTTAAGTTATCATATTACTTCTTTAAGCTTTAAAGCCCAAACTGACTCTAAAATTAATCTAATATGTAAAGCATCAGGTTGAGGAGAGGGCTGGAAGTGTCATGGAGAAGGTGCTGCAGTTATTAGAGAAGAGATGGGAGATACGTGTTAGATCTGTGTGAAGGACTGCAAATGGATGAGCTGATGGAATGGCAAAGGTTAGATAAAGGTCGCTGGAAGAGTTTCCATAGTGGGATACAGTTCATCCTAAGGTGTTTGAGGAGTTTGAAATGGATAAGGTTGGTGTGGTGTCAGGTGCTTCATTTGGAGCTGGGTTGAGGGAGGTTTAGTTTTTGTTTTTGTTTTTTTCTTTTTTGGCTTTTGACCCCTTTAGTACCAAAAAAAGTATGTTGATGACTTAACATGTACATGTAGTTAAATAAGAACAAATTAAACCTCAAATCAATTTAATTTTTATAAAACTAGCAAGTCTCTTATACTATGTTTTAATTTATTCTTTTAGTTTTTTTTAAATCTATGATTCTTCTATTATTTTTCCCTACCTAAGATATAATGTTTGAGAGTTTTTTGGATGGAATGGAATGAAGTGGGATGGCTAGAAGTTTTATATCACTGTTTAGAATTCTTTTAATAAAGAGTGGCATATGATGTGATGACCTTTCAAGCCATCCTAAACCCATTTTTTCCTACCCCTGATTTAGGGAATTGAAGATGAAATGGCATGATATAAATAACATTATAAAAATTTTTCTTTTAGTTCACCAAAAGTTTTATCAAAGAAAGACCATCATAATAAAACAGAATAAGTACTTAACTTACTCATTTTATCTTGCTATCACGTTCATATATTTCCAAGTCTAAGTCAATTCATATATCGTGTGACGTAGAGGAAGGGGCACAATATATAATATTGGGTCTTTTCAAGGATAAAATAATCCATATTAATTTTAAATAATTTATATTTTTGATTGTTTTTTATTACTGTGATAAAATTAATGTTAATTATTTCACATGAAAGTTAATCAAAATTAAATAATTATGTGCTTTGAGAAAATGTTTTTAGGCAACAAATCAGTTACAGTAATATAACAACTTAATAAAAAGTTAATAAAGATAATAGGCTGCACTAAAAGGAGAATGTGGGTCCATCTCTAAATATAATTCTTGCACCTTTGGTTTTAATATAAACATATAATGTAACTACACTGAACAACATTCGTAATTAAATATATGCAAAGTAATCAGAATGGAAGAGAAACAAAATAGAAGAAAAGATTAATATATTCAATTGAATTGTGATCATGATGATGATACAAAAACTCTTGATTATTATGTTGATTATTCTCACGCGTCTTTGTTCTCTTGCGTAATCTCTTGGAAAATTGGCCATAAGGATAAAAAAGATTAAATATTTTGTGCATGAGTCATCCCAATTAATATAGAAATAAAAGTCTGCAGGGGATCATCTTCCTTGAAAGATAATATTTTTTTCCAGCAAAATTATCAAAATAGCCTTTTTCCCGGAGTAAAGATTATTGTTAAAGATTCCTAAACGACTTCAGTAGATTAGCACCGGAAAATGAAGGGTATGTTTTCTTAATTTTCTCTAAACATAAATTGTTGATCCAAGACCTTAGTTCCTTGTAAGTTTTATTTCTGCATTTGAGACTTATGTCAAAATATTTGAGTCTTTTGGTACTTGTGGTCAATTTTTCCTGGTCTTTTTTTCTTGTGAGATTCAATCTACCTAGCCTTATCAATTTTATAATAGGATTACAATTACCAAGGTGACTAAATTTAAACTTGCAAAAATTTTGGCTTGAATAAAGTTTTTTGCAACAGCTACAAAGTTACACTAAAGTTTAGTATTTCTTTTTATTTTAAGAAAAATACATATTTTAAAAGTAAATAGGTAAGATAATTTGTAGTCTCCAAACATTCTCTTAATTATCAACTTAGTTTTGAATTTTGTTTTGATACAACTCAATCCTTGTAACTTACTAAGTTAATGAATTATAGAGATTGAGTTGGGCCAAATAAAAAAAAAAAAAAACATGACGATTGAGCTGTTCTAATTCAATAAACTATAAGAATTAGGCTATTCTTAATCAAAGTTTAAGGAATATTGAATTGAGAATTCAGAAAAAAATTTAGGTATGGAAAATTATATTTTCTCAAAAATAAATATATGTCACATCTCATCAAAATTCAATATATATTACACTTTTAATCTTATAATTTCACATGTATTAAAATGTTGGTACACAAGTTTTGAACGAGTATAAGTTTTATGGTTGTTTAAAAAAAATATAATTAAAAAGAGAAAAATAGTATAAGTTTGTTGAGTTATTTAAATTATTAGCTAACAAATAATTATGAACATAAAATATTAAATTAAATTGCTTGATTGTTGCAACAATTAAAAAGTGCCTGATGATGTGCTGCATCAGCAAAATTGTGTCAGTACCTACCATTTCTTAATTCCTTTTGAATTCGAACGCTGACGTTTTGAGAGAATCCATATTGTCATCTCAACATATCAATGAAAAAATTCCTCCACGGGTGGTGTTGAATTGGATGATTGTATTTTATTGCAGTGGTAAAATTAATGTTATTTAATTATTTCACTTAAAAATGAACCAAAATGAAATACTTTTGTGATTTGAGAAAATTGTTTTTAGGTAACAAATCATTTACTGTAATAAAGAAAACTTAGCAAAAAGATAATAAAGATATGAAAAGCGACCCTTGTTACAAAAGGCAATTACATGATCAATTACATTGTTAATAATCAATGTATCGTATACAAGTAAAATGACAAAAATTGAATGAACAAAAATTTCATTGTTTACAAAAGTTGAATGGACAAAAATTGTATGAACAAAAATTCTTCGTTGTTTTTTAAAGTTGCTTGCCTTGCTTTTCCTTCCGCTTAAAGTAAATCCAATCCTCTTTGGTATACAAAAGAATGAATTCATTAGGTCATATTTATAAGTCACTTCTAACATTTTTATTGAAAAAAAAACATTTAAACATTGTTAACTCTATCTAAAAATTTAACTTTCAACTTTACCCCTATTAAATGTGCCTATTTTAAAAATAAAATGCTCAAGTATTTAATAATCTTCCTAACATTTAATAGGGGCAAAATAATAAAGATAGGCATAATAATCATTGAGGCACCCACTAAATAGGACAAAAATAAATATTCTCTCTCCACCTTATAAATAGAACCAGAGGAATGAACCCAGCTTAATTAATTAAATTAATTTATAAAATTTACATATTTGAATTTAAATATAGTCAAATGAAAAGGTACGCACTCTGTTTCTAGTTCCCAAAGGCATCATTAAATTAGTTTCTATTTATAGTGACTTGCTTCATCATATCTTTAATATTATGCAAATTTTAAAAACGTTTTTTTCCCTTAATATAAAGAAAAGTTAGAATTTCGAGTAATTAATTTAATTTTCAAATTTTACCCTTGTTTATTTATTATGGTTTGAATCCCTAAAAACAATATATTATTGTTATTAATTACAAAGAAGGGTAAAATTGGAAAGTTATATAACTTTTAACAATTTTAAATATATACTCATACTCGTCCTATCTATAAGTTATTTCTAACATATTTTACTAAAAATAAAAAATATATTAAAATTCATTAACTCTATCTTAAAAAATAATAAGTGACCAACTCTATCCCCAACAAGGACAAAAAAAAAACTATGTTTAATAATTTTTCCTAACATCCAATAAAGGTAGAAAGGTAAAGAACATAGAAAATAGTGAAGTGCCCTATAAATAGGATGAAACTTAATCTTCTCTCTTTATGCTATAAATAGGACAAGAGGAGTAACTAACATTTCTTAATAAATCTAAAGTTAGTTAATTTTGCCTGATATTAAAAACTCCATGGTGTATTTTCAAGTTTTAATGGATGGATTTTAGATTTTGTGCAAGGATTAAATCCTCAAACTAGGTACGTGCTGACATGTGGCTAGAGAAAGTCAATGTATTAACTCAACACCAAGGAATGATTTTTGAGACTGAAAATTTCAAATTCTATCTTTAACCTTCACTTCAGACATAAAAGAGACTCATTCTTCTCAAGCGTGACTCAATAGTTTTTCCTTCTTCAATCAAACTATATTACTATATTATTTTTCCTCTATAGCGGGATAATATTACTTCTTAAGAAAATGTTTAGGGGGATATTGCCTTACTCTACACTATAGGATGCCTAGTGCTCCTAAAAAAAGTTGAGGAATAAATTAGATCTTTAACCCAAATTAAAATAATCCTCTATTATTTTTTTCTTGATGTTAGAATCAGTATTAAGGGAGATTTTACATGCAATGCTACAAGAATGATTTGGAATCTCACAATTTGTACTGGTCTCATCCTCATTACAAAGGTTGTGTGACACAATGATGACACACCTTTAGTCTATTCTCATACCTAATCATTTCCTATAGAAAAAGCTACTATCATCTAATAAATATGACCTATATAATTGATTTGGCTATTGAACAGCCACCTGAAAATTTTATTGGGTATGTACTCGATCGTTATTTGATCGAAAAGGCTAATAGATAATGTAGAATAATAATTATTACAGCTAATATCTTGTCTTCTATGCTTGGAGGAAAGTAAATGCACATATATAATAAATAATGAGTCCAATATATTTGGAAAGTAAATAATAAAAAAACGAAAAACATATAACAACACAAATTGCAAAAATATGCTTATTTAAACATGACTTGTTGCCTATGCATAAAACTAGCCTTGATCTTGTTTAATGATACTACAACATCAATCATATTGCTTTGTGCTTTTGGAAGATTGATGCAACAATTCAAGGCCAAATCAAGAATAGAAGATGCAGATGTCAAAGTATTATTTATATGATGCTCATCTCCTTGCGATAAATTTGAATCCATGACTTGAATTATTGCATGTGGCATTGACTCACTTACCCAGCTCTTCAAGCTTAATCTTGAGACAAATATATCTTCTGTGGGCCTTTTTCTTGTAAAGACTTCTAATAGCATAATTCCATAGCTATACGCATCTACTTTTGTTGAAACAACTCCAGAAGATCCATACTCTGTATATAATTAAATTCAAGTAGTAAAATATGCCTAATAACTAAACAAGATCAGACTATTCATTTAGTCAATTAGAGTAGATGGAATAATAGGGAACTAAGAGGTAAATTATATTTTGTTGCCTAGTGGTAGTCCTTGAATTTTGTAAATGTCTATTTTTGTTAACCCAAAAAATTGATAGGAAACTTTTATGATCAAATGCAAAAGGATATTCAAGTGGAAGAATCAAATAAACTTAGACACACACCCCCTGCCCCATATACACAAGCATACATGTGTGCGCATGCGTCCTCTAGTGCACGCAGCTATACACATTACACACTTTTCAAAGTACACCTGCTTCTTGATGTTCTAATACAAGAGCCTATCTCATGGAAAATTTTGAAGCAAATATCCAAGAACATTTCTCTCTTTAGAATAATTAAGGACCAAGTTTTATGCATAGATAACTTTCATAAAATGTAGTTCATCAATTAAGCTTCATATTTAGGGAGGGGTAGATGTTAAAAGATTTCTATCTTTTTAATTTTGATGTAAATCTCTAGTGTATTATTCTATTTTTGTAGTAATATTATAGCTCGTTTTTCTTTCAAGAAGAAAAAAGGTGAGACACCATGTTTAGAATAATTACTTGGTGCGATATAGCCAATAGTAGGTATTGTCTCTATGTATGTCTTAGATTCCCCTTTATCTAAAAGTTTGGAAATTCCAAAGTCACTCACATGAGCAATCATTTTATCATCCAATAAAATGTTGCTTGGCTTCAAATCATAGTGAACAATTGGTGCTAGCATGCCATGATAGAGATACTCCAAAGCAGATGCTACATTTATCATTATATTTAACCTTTGAAGAAAACCTAAAAAGTAGTTGTGAGAATATAACCACTTTTCAAGGCTCCCATTGGGCATGAACTTCATTACCAAAGATTTGAAATCAACATTGGAACAACAGCTTATAACCTTCACCAAATTGCAATAGCACACATTACACAATATGTCACATTCTTTTTCAAAGCTCCTTAACATTACTTGGGAATTAAAATTGAAGACCTTAACTATAATGATCATTATATTGGAAAGCTTTCCTTTGAACACAGAACCATAACTGCCCCTTTCAAGTAGGTTACTCTCATCAAATTCATTGGTTGCTTCTTGGATTTCAAAATAAGAAATCTTTCTTGGCACTCTTAAAGCTAATAAATCCCTTTCAACTAGACCCCTTGAATTTTGTTGTCATTTATGTCTTAAAAGAATAATCCTTGAAATAACCAAAATTATTGACACAACTATGGGTAATATGCATTTCAATAAAAGCAATTTTGTCATTGATCTTTTCCCTATTCCTTTTGTGCAAGGGGGCACTTGGAGTTGCGGCATGCCACAAAGAATTTGATTTTTCATCAAAGATTTAGGAGTCAAATTTTTGAAGACTCCTCCACTTGGAATCTCTCCTTGGAGTTTGTTAATGGAGAGATTGACATACTTAAGAGCACTAAGGAACTCCAAATTTTTAGAAATCTCCCCAGACAAATTATTTGGGGAAAGATCTAAATTTTCTAGGCTTAGCAAATTCCCAAATGATCTAGGAATAGATCCTTGCAATTCATTGTGTGCTAAAGAGAGAATCTGCAAATTTTGCAAGCCACCCATAGTTGTTGGAATGATTCCTGAAATATGATTTTTAGACAAATCTAATATGATAAGAGCTTTTAATTTCTCAACCATTGATGAAAGACCCCCAACAAGATGATTGGAAGACAAGTTCACATGCAATATGTCTTTCACATTCCAAAAGGAAGATGGTATCTCTAATGCCAACTTATTAGAGCCCAAGTGAAGTTCCCTTAAAGAGGAAAGATTTCCTAAACAAGGTGGCATTGCTTCAGAAAATTTGTTTTGGCTTAGATGTAAATAGCCAAGTGGTTTGATCTCACAAAGCTGATGAATAAGTAAGTAGACCATGCACGTTGTTGCCTTCAAAACTCAATAATTGAAGAGCCTGTAAGCTACCAATGGTTATTGGAATTGGTCCATTCAAAACATTTTCATCCAAATTAAGACTAATCAAATTAGAAAGATTCCCTATCTCTGATGGTATGTTGCCATTAATACCGCAACAAACAATGTCCAACTCTTATAGAGAATTAGAAAAGCTTCCAATGGACTTGGGAAGTTTTATATACAATGGATTGTTTGAGAGATCCAAAACTTTCAAATGTCTACAATTAGTCAATGAGGTAATAAAATTGATTTAGAATTGGAAGCATCTGATGTAGTTAAATTATTGTCATGTATTTGCAATCTTTTCAAGTATCTTAAATCCCCAACTGTTGTTGGTAAAACCCCTCTAAAATTATTTTCTGACAATTGTAAACTGGCCAGCTTAGAGGCATTTGACATTGTATTTGGGATTCTTCCAGAAATTACGTTGCCCTATAAATATAGCTCTTCTAGATTAGGAAGGCCACATCCAACATCTGATGGAAGGCTACCTGATAAAGAATTATTTTGAAGAGCCAACACTTGCAAAGTTGATATGTTAAGAATTTCCAAAGGAATAGATCCCCTGAATTTGTTATGGCCCAAGACAAGATGCTCAAGCTTATAAAGATTGCCAATTTCTACAGGTATTGAACCTGAAAGGAAAGTTATTGTTTTAGATTTAGGCAAAGTTAGTTTATGCTAATACTAAAATAAAGAAAAATAAAATAAAATATAAATATCTAATTAATAAGACAAATATATGATACTCACCTTTTAATGTTGGGTCAATAAGATGATCCAGCTGAATTTTAGGTTCGCTTCATAGGTTAACTCATTAACATGTCAGGTTTTTTTAATTGTTTTATAGTATCAATCCCAAAGCATATTTAAAATGCAATTAAAATATAGTTTTTTCCTTTTTTTTAGAGTGCACTAAAAAAAATATGGCTTTTTTAAAAATGTAATGAGCATCGACGTGTGAAAATATGGCATCTGGATCTTCTGTTAGTTTTTTTTTTTGTTGATGACACGTCTGCTACCTCAATATAGAGCAATGGTTTTGTTTTGTTTCATTTTATTGTTTTTTTTTTTTGCTGAAAGTGAAAAAAAAGGAAAAAGTTTTAAAATTTTGTTTATATATTGTTTCTTTTCCTGTTTTAACGAATACAGCATAAAACTCTACTTCTACATTGCATGTAATTCATTCAAACAAAAATTCTATTATAATATTTTTAACTTTGTTGATTTCATAAATTTTTAAAATATTTGAATGTTAATGGCATCTGTAAAAGTGAGGGCAACTTTATATAGGAATATAGACCTTATATTCAATTGTTGAAATTTTTTTATCCAATTGTTTTGTTTTATGAAGACAGTTTTTATTCAATTTATATACACTAAAATCTATTTGAAGGCAAATGATGATTGATGAGGCATTAAATTTTTAATGATATAATTTATTGAGATGAAATTAAAAGATAACGTTCTTTTCTAAATTTTGAAAATCCATGAGAGATACATTTGGGGGCATGCATCCTCACAAGTTACTATCACTACTATAAAAAATTTCAACTTCCATACATCATTTTTTTGGTTTAAAAAAAGTTTAGGTAAGTTAAATCTAAAGATTTCACCAAAATTGGCTTCCCTCCTCCAAGGTAAGCCCCCACCACACCTCCTCAAAAGAGGTGCATGATCTAGACAGTCCAGATATGTACTTTCTATTGTTTTTTTATATTTTTAAAATAAAAAATTTGTATAAATTGTAAAAAAAATTTAATAAATTTGTTCACCATTCTGCATAGTCTAGATTTAATATGAATGGTCCACATTTAACATCAAAATTTTTATAAATTGACTATCCAAATATATATGTTAAATAGCATAGTTTAGTATTAAACTTATTAAACTTTTTTTATAATTTTTATAAATTTTTAATATTAAATATAGACTTCCAAACTAGTAATTAGATTTATTAAAAAAATTATAATTTATACAAATTTTTAATTTTAAAAAATATAAAATAAAAATAAAAAGTGCATTAAATCTAGACCCTCTAGACATTCACCTCCTCAGAGGAAGTGAAAAGGGAAGCCAAGTCTAAATTTACTAGGGTTAGGGCATGCCTTCAGGCTCAAAAAAAAATATATCTACAAAGGTACTTACAGATTACCATCAACAAGGTTTACATTTAATATGAAGGGTATATATTTAATATTAAAAATTTATAAAAATTATAAAAATTTTAATATTAAACCTACACTATCTAGAATATATTTGGGTAGTCAATTTATAAAATTTTTGATGTTGGGTTAGTATTATAATCCAACTCAATTTTAGTTTCATTTCATAGATTAACATGGCAATTTTTTTCGCTTCCAAACATATATAAAGTCCAGTTAATTGTTTCAAACCTTGATACATAAGGAAGGTAAGCACATGGAATGGAGAGTATCATTGTTGATGAGGAGTGAAAGAAGAATGTGGTAGAAGTTAAAAGAATTGAGGATAAAATTATTTCCTTATGAATGATGGTTGGATGTGAAACTATCAATATTGTTAGTACTTATGCATTGTAGGTTGAGGCAAAAGCTAATCATAAGGATTTGTTTTGGGAGGATGCAGAGTGGTTGATTCAAAGTATACCACCAAGTAAAAAAAAATTGGAGGAGATTTTAATGGTCATGTCAATAGAGAAGCAAGTAACCATACAAGGGAACATAGGGGTTTTGGTTTTAGGGAGCAAACAACAAAGGAGAATCAATTTTTGACTTCTCTTTGGTGTATGATTTCAAGATTGTCAGTGCTTATTTCAATAAGAAGAGAGATGAGTATCTTATCACTTACATAAGTAGAGCATCTAGCTAGGTCACAGATTGATTTTTTCTTGTTAAGGAACATGGATAGAAAACTTTGTAACAATTGTAAGATGATCCCTAAGAATGGTGTAACAACACAACATAGGGTTCTTATCCTTGATGTGAGTTTAAAAGTATTAGATGATCCCTAAGAAATTTTCAAGAAGAATCTTTTGGACAAAGGAATTTAGGAGTCTGAGAAAAGTGCTAGCATCATGTGGGAAGATATAGCTAAGCTAAGAAAGGTTGCTAAAGAAGTTTTGAGAGAATTAAAAGGTTTTGGTCTAAGGGACAAGGAGTCTTGGAGGTGGAATGAGGACATACAGGAGAAAGTAACATAAAAAGGAGTGTTTTAAAGCTATACATTTAAGCAATAATGCTGAAAATTAGGAAAGATATCGTACGGCTAAGAAGAAAACTAAGAAATGTGTGAGTGAAGCAAATTCTAAAACATTTGAAGAGTTTTACAAGGGTCATGGAACAAAGGAAGGAGAATGAAAAATTTAAAAGATTGGTAAGAGTAGGGAAAGAAAATTAAGAGATTTGTAACAAGTAAGGTCCATAAAGGATGAAGAAGGAAGAGTTTTGGTTACATATGGTGATATTAAAGATAGATGAGAGACCTACTTTTATGAGCTTTTCAATGATGGAGGGAGCTTGTTTAATAATTTGGAGGATTTAGTAACTTATGAAGGAGAAAAAAAAATTGCCATTCTATCAACGGATATGCAATAGTAAGGTAAAAGAAACTCTTTAAAAAATGGCAAAAGATAGAGCCATCAAACTTGATTGTATTCCTATTGAAGTGTTGAAATGTTTAGAAGAAGAGGGGGCTATAGCTAAATAAGTCATTTGATGAGATCTTATAGTCTAAGAAAATTCCTAATGAATGAAGGAGAAACACCTTAGTTCTTATTTACAAAAGTGAACAGGGTATTTTGAATTGTCTGAACTATAGATGAATTAAGCTTATGAGTCATACAATGAAATTGTGAGAAAGTGTGATTGAACATTGTTTGAGGTTGGAGACTGGTATTTTTGAGAATCAATTTGGTTTCATTCTGAGAAAGGAGACTACAAAAACGATTTATCTATTAAGGAGATTACGGGAAAAGTGTTAAAGCAAAGGTTGAGGTCTACACGTGGTTTTTATTGATTTGAAAAAAAAAACTTATGATTTGGTACTAAGAGAAGTACTTTAGAAAGCCTTGGAAAAGAAAGCAATTTAGATTACCTATAATTGAGCTATACAAGATATGTATGAGAGGGTGGCAACTAGTATAAAAACATTGTAGGTGAGATAGAGGACTTTTTCATAAGGATTGGACTATGACAAGGATCATGTTTGAACCCTTATCTATTTGACTTGGTTCTAGACATTTTAATTGTGCATATTCAAGAGGAAATACCCAATTGCATGCTTTTGACAAAATGATATAGTTCTTATTGTGGAGTCAAGAGAAGAGTTAACTACAAACTTGAGTTATGGAGGAGGACCTTGGAATTGAAGGGTTTTCGACTGAGTAGGAGTAAGACTGAATATTTGCATTGCAATTTTGAAAAGAGATCAGCTAGTAGTAATTTAGAAAGGAGATTAGGAGATCATATCATACCTTGAGTGGAAAAATTAGATATTTGGGAGTAATTATTCAACATGATGGAGAAATTGATGGGGATGCTTCACATAAGATACAACTTGAATGATTTAAATGAAGAAAGTCTAAAGGGGTTATTTTTGATCGAAAGGTACCTAATAAACTTAAAGGAATATTTTATCAAACTTGTATAAGACTAGCCATGCTATATGGTAGTGAATGCTAGGCTTTGAAGGGATGATAAAAACATAAGGTGGAGTAGCATATATGAGAAATTAAGATGGATGTGCGAAAATACAAAAAAGATAAAATCCCAAATGAACATTTATGAGAGAAAGTGGACTTGGCAAATATTGAGGAGAACATGGTAGAAAATCGTTTATGATGATTTCGACATGTATAAAGAAGGCTATAGGAGGCACTAGTAAGGAGAGTGGAATGAAAAATCTTAAGTCCTTTTAAAAGGGGTAGAGGAAGACAAAAGAGAATAGTTATGAAAGTTATTGAACAGGACCTCTTAGTTAACAATATTCCTAAAAGCTTGGTCAATAATATAGCACAATAGTATCATGCAATTCATGTAGCCAATCCCACCTAATGAGATAAGGCTTGTTTCTGGATGCTTTTTAGTTTTGGTGATGTGGTATTTACTACCTCAATATTCAATGGTGGTTTTATTTTATCTTATCTTATTTTATTTTATTTTATGGAAGTTTTTCGATTGCATAATTTTGAAAAAGATATTTGAATTTTAATGGCATCTATAAAAGTGTGGGTAACTTTATAAAGGATTATAGACCATGTACATTCAATTGTTGAAAATTATAAGAATTTAAATTTTTTTATCCTATTGTTGTTTTGTTCTGTGAGATAGATTTTACACAATTTATATAGACTAAAATCAATTTGAAGGAAAATGATGGCACATTAAATTTCTATGGATATAATTTATTGAAATGAAATTAAAATAAACATTCATTTTTAAATTTTGAAAATCCATGAGATACATCAGGGGGCATGCATCCTCACAAGTTACTATCACTGATATAAAAGAAATTCAACTTCCACAATTTTTTTTTTCTTGTTAAAAATAGTTAAAGTGAGTTGATTTTCAAAGGCTCACCAGAGTCAAGACATGCCTTCAGGCTCATAGAGTCCTTATAGAGGTATTTACAGATTGCCCACTAGTAAGATTCTCAC